CGCGAGGCAACCTTAGCAGACGTTCTAAAAAAGCCTCACTGGCTAAGGGGAAATGGGAGCAGGATTCTATTGAATGTGCCTCCTTGGGGGAAAAGCGGCTGGCGTCTACTTCAACCTCTGCTTTGCACTCTTCTGAGTGCCGTGGTGATGACTGACCCGGCGGCTTTGCTAAGCATGCCAAAATAACATGGCAAGGCAACCTTAGCAGGCATTCTAAAAGAGCCTCTGCGGAAAAGAGAAATCAGGAGGAGGAAACCGTGGTAGAGGCCTCTTTGAGGCTTTCCAGTCAATCTCTACGGTGGCAGTATGTTTTGTCACATGAAACGCTTGGTGAGCGTAACTACCATTTGTACTGCAAATCAGTTTACACATATTCATTGAAAAGTAAGAGGAAACTACCTAAATGCTTGCAACTTTTGTGGCAAGGGTGTCGGAAAGTTCCGCACAAAAGCGCACAAGGCGGCAACGCGATGCAATTTCAACTTCTGCTGCTAGAGCTGTAGAAGGACTGACTGAAAGGCTTGAAAGGTTGCAGACTGTTAACCAGCACCGTCATGCACAGCGAGGGCTCTGTAGCCAACCAAAACAGTTTTGGTTTAAGCTGGCATTGAACTATGAGCCAGTTTTGAGGCTTTCCGGTCGCAAAGACCTCCAAATAGGATCCATGTCAGTTGTCTGTGGGCATTGCAATGCCAAAAAAATGGCCTGGAGAGTCTGCAGGTTTGTGTTGTTCAGACAGTAAGGTACAGTTGTCACCTTTTCAAGAGCTACCTGCTCTGTTGAAAGCTCTGTTGGAGGGTTCCAGTCCAGACTCCAAACATTTCCTCGCAAAAATCAGACAGTACAATTGTGCCTACCTCTTTTGGTGGTAATGCCTTCCGCAAAGTCGGTTGGAATCCCACCTTATGAATTATAAAATCTGGTTTAAAGGTGTAGTCTAAAATATTGGCTTCTTCAACCTGAAATCACTGATTAAAGTTTGATTTTTACTCTTTTGGGAAAGTGAGTGGTATCTTTAAATAAGGTACATATATCAATAAAATTTCATTTCCTTATTTTTCAAAACATTTTCTGATAATTCTTTGTTATTACAATTTATATTTGCAACAATTAATGTTAGGTCATAATGAAAAATATAAGTTCTGCAATTAGAAATAATGCTGTGAGCGAATGAACAGGAAAAATTTATCTTTTTAAAAAAGAAGTCAGCCAAAATCAATGACAAAAATTTGAAGGCTGTAATGGAAAATGAAATATTGGTTAAAAACACACAACAATTTCAATGTATGAACTGGAACTAATTCAAATCATTTAAGAGTGAGTGGTATAAAAAATAAGCCAATAAATTAGTTCCATCTAAAATGAATGAGGAACAAAAATTAACTGAACTAATCATGTTCAATTTTATGGAATTGGAAATTTTTTTCTATAATAACCAGAGAAAATATTCAGATAGGAAGCTCAAGCAAAACTGTGCAATCATATATCTGGAGGCATGTAGGTGGAAGAGGTGTAGTTCATTATATCAGGACATATTTTAGATGGGTTAAAGTAAACCAAGATGAGGATTGTGTACTTAGAACTCAAAGAGTTTGGTGAATAGAAATGGTTTTGTTTTGCTGCATAACATCCACTTTCATGTTGCAAAAGCAATGTTATTAATTTTTTGTTATCTAAAAATTCCTGTCCCAAAATGATCGTAATTTGTGTGTGTGTGTGGAGATACACACACATACACAATGAAAACTGGATACTGTGATCATTTTGAGACAAGGTCTTTTCAATAAATACCTGATGACATTTAAGCAAAGAATATAAAATTGGAACAATTTATCTTTTACAAACAACTTTATATATGCACACACATTAGAGACAGTATGGACATAGGGATCAACATTGCAGAATGACTGTCAATTTCATATTTCAGACCAAGACTGAAGATGACATTGAACTGAACCATAAAGGAAAGCTGACAGTCACCCATGCAATGATCCTATGCCCTGTCTATATCTATATGTTCCATCTATGATAAAGTTTATAGTCAACGACGAAATTATTTGTACACCCATCAATTTTTAATATTCTTATCCATTTCTCAGAATCTAATGCCCGTATGATATCAGCTTTTTTATATCTTAATAAGCACACAAAAAGGAATATATATTTATTTGATACATAATTGTGGCACCCTTCCGAAGGGGGAAGCGGATTAAGGCTGGTCATCAGTAACTATCCTACTCCTCACTGATAAATCATGAAATAAAAAAGTATAATTGTGTGTTTATTTAAAAAAAAAAAAAAAAAAAAAAAACCCGAAGACGTTACTTCTTTTTTCTAAATCAGAAAAAAAATTAAAAACTTTTCATTAAAAGAAAGATAACTTGTTTTTGTTTATTTTATTTAAAAAGAAAAAGAAAAAGAAAAACATCTTGTACTTTTAATTCAGAATTTATCAGGTTTTTCATCTTATTTATTTCAATTATAACAAGTGAGGAGTCATATGCCATGTTAACAGAAACAGGGTTCGTTTTCTAATGTAAAAATTGCAATGTCCTTTTTTAATTATTTTATTTTTTTACGTAGTTGAAGTTATTATTAGCAAAGTAGTAGACTAAGAATTAAAAAAGTCCGATAAAATGAATTTCACTTTTAAAAACTGAAATAAAAATGTTATTAATTCTTAGTCTTTTTTGCTTAATAAAACTTCAACTATCTAAACAAAAAAATAAAACATTCTTTTACTACCGTTGTAAAGTGAAAAAAATGCTGTTTTGGACTTTAAATAAAATTTCTGCACTTAAAAAATATATTAATTTTAAATTTTCTTTTAAGTTTCCGTCGGATATTTCCGGAAAAAATTGGAATTATTTCAATTTATCTATTTTATAATTTATGTAAAGTAATGACTTTATCTCCGTGATAAGATTAAAAAAAACAAAAAAACAAGAACAAAACAGCAATTGGTTCACTTATTTTTTTTTTTCACTAATAATAATAATAATAATAATAATAGTTCACAGACATGTAAAATCAAAATCAAAGAACTGACGCCAAAGTCTGGACTTCTCACATAGATGTGATAAAACTGTGGATTCACTAAATTCACTTAATCCAACGCCACATCAAGCCCTCTAAAACGTTCAAATTTTTTTCACACCTTTTGCTCATGGATTGTAAATGGGGTTTATCCCCACCAGCTGACAGCGCGTTTTGGAGACAATCTTTTTTTTTATTGCTAGCTGTCTGGCTTTAAGCCAGCCATATCAAAGACAAACAGGCTTCATTTGAACCCTATCTTCTTCCTTGTCACTGCTTTATTTTTTTTGCAAAAATTAGGCTATTGTTTTTTTTCTTTTCTGAAAACTCATCGCGGACCAAAAGTGCCGCCCGGGGCGGACCGCCCCCCTCCATCCTCCTAACTGACAGATCACAACAGCAACATCCTGAACATCCTTCTTCAGTTAATTTTCATGACTACTACACGCTAATTTTTGCAGTTTCCCGTTTTTTGTTGTTTTGTTTTTTTCATAGTTTTTTGTCTTCCATTTTCCAGTGAATTTATGTGAGGAGACCGAGACTCACCCATTCAGCAATGAATACTATGATTAAAACAGCTTGTAGTTCAATATTCTACCACTAAACTGGTTCCCAAAATAGAATCACATTTTACAACAGAATTACGGTTACGAAATCATTTAACCTGCACACGTGTGTGGGTGTTTTAGTTTATGTCTTTATCTTTTTGTGCCAACTTTTAATTCGAGACAAGGATCAACCAGCAACTACGACAGGCATCACGAAAAACTCAGTCAAAAATTTTTGGATATTTTACTTACGCAAAATAAAAATTAAGCGAGTTTATCATGGGAAAGTCTTTTAGTTACATTACAATATGTGTGAAGCTAATTTATTTTGGTTAAAAAGAAAAAGAAAAGGAAAAGAAAAAGAAAAAAGCTGCATATGGACAAGGTGATTGTTCATTAGAAATCAGGTGACGAGATTGGTCAAGACCGAATTATTCTGGGCAGATATCGATCTCAAATTACTACCACTGCTAATATCAATGAATAATTCCATGACTACTAATAAACACAAAATTAGCAAATATCTAGGCATGAACCGACATTCAAACATAAAAAGTGGGCTAAGTTTAATAGAAATATTAAGCAACGTTGCTTGAGAACTGAAATATGAACAAAAAAAATCGATCATTACACGTGATCGTCAGGTTTTAATAAAGAGAACTTTAAAGTGCTTAAATGTTTTGCTTTTTTAGCATTTTTTAAAATAGTACTTTTTATTGTAGATGACAGCTTTTTTAAGACTTGATTCTACTATTACTTTTTTAACTACACACATTTTTTTTTACCGAGTTAACAAAACTTAGTGAATGAAGGAAGAGATGTATTTCTTTTTTTTATCTCTTAAAGAAAGAAGTGACATTAAGTTTCTTTAGGAGCATTGAACAGGTGAGATAGAGCAAGTAAGAGTTTGGAAAAGTAAAAAACAGAAACCAGTCTTTAAAAATTATGCCTGATGGTACATTTAATTTGCATCTCTACCGAATCTAATAATTTTGGGATGTTACAGGAAACGAAAGTAACGGGATTTTAACAATAACAACCGAAAAAAAAATCACTAATCAGTAAAGAACTTAGGTAGACTTTTTTTTTTTTTTTTTTTACAAGAATGTCGCATTTTTTTTGTTTTTTTAGTTATCTGTTACTGTAGTAGAAAAAAGCCATCTATTTTTTTTATTTTCTGCTCTCTCAAAAATGTCAGTATTTTTGACGGGTGGAAAAGAAAGCTATGATCACAAAATAATCGCCAAAGAAGGAAATGTGGACCCGACCGAACTGAATGCATCGATTAAAAAAAAAATGGGTAAATAACAACTTAAAATTAACGATGAATAAAAAAAAAAAAATAAAACTGTAGTGTGGTTGAAATAAAACCAGATTTATTAACTTATGAAATAATGAATAATAATAATAACTAACCTTTTTGACACGGATCCATTTTCCTTGATTATTACAGAATTCGTGTCCACTGGCGATGACCCTTGATAGAAGCACTCCCGTCATGGAATCTATGGGATCAGTGTTGAGATCTGGTTTTGGGTACATGTCCACAGTGCCTGCAATACATTTGTACTCGACCCGGTCGGGGACATAACAGAGAGACTCGGGCAGGGGTCCGGCCTGTTTTAGACACGAAATACATTGGTGCAAACAACGAATGCGGGCAAGACGACGGCTGATGTCGTTCGCAAACGCCATCCTTAAAGACAGCACAACGAGACAAACCACACGAGCAGATCATGCAGTAGGGTTAAAAGACTTTAGGGTCGGAAAAAAAACAGAGAAATAAAATAGACATAAGCCGGAAAACCAGCAAGTTGGACGGACAGAGAAACAGATTGTTTGAGGAGGACGGCGCTGGAAGACAACAACGGTGAAACACTCTCCCTCATTAAAACTATCGTTTTCTCTTCCCTCTCTCTTTTTCCTCTGCTCTTATTATTGTGAAGCTAGGCTCTTCCTGGAGTTTCGTATTTTCTAACCTAACTCATTCATGAATTTCGTTCTTTGATATTTTTTATAAAGATAATTTTGTTACATTAATTTACTTTATTTTATTCTCTCAAAATTTTATACGATTTTTCAAAAACAAAATTACTTTTTAATGTTCAAAATGTTTTACTATTTCTTTTTCAAAGTAGGAAATTAAAAAATATTTTCAATTTATAACTTTCAAATTCATTCATTAATTTTATTCATTTAAATTAAAAATAAACAATTAGTGAAAGTTTGAATCATTTAAAATTATTCTGGTCAAACTTAAAGTTTGCATGAATAATTTTCTTTTCATTATTTAATTTTGGTAGTATAATGAGCATTTAATTCAAGCTGTTAGTGTTAAGTTAACTCACATATTTCTGAGAATAAATATCAAACTACAAAAATATAAAAGAAAAAGTTTTTAGGTGAACTTGTAGAAAATTTCAAGAATCATGATTTTTTTTTTCAGAAAAGTCAGCTTCTTATTCGCACTTCGTTTTTCGAATTTTATAAAACTTTCATTTCACGCAGATTTAATATTGTTAACTTCAGTTAAATGTTGATATAAACTTAATGAACATTATGACCACAATTTCTGTCTTTCTGAAACTCTAAGGAAAAATAATACAAAAGAACATGTGTATGTGTGTGCATGGATGTGCAGGTGATCTAAATGGTTCATTAGCACTTAGCAACTTGGAACAAGAATTCAGCAAGCAGAGTTCAAATTCCAGTCAAGTTCATTACATTCACTTTTGTGCATCTACACTTGGGAAAGATATGAATGTATCTCTTCTACTCCTAGCTATGAGTTAAAGTGCTGTAGACTGGTCTATTTAGCCTTGGTTGGCAACCAGTCTGGGAGAAGAGCAACACTGAATTCAAAACTTGATGAGGACTGTTTGGAAACCTTGGGGCATACTATGTGCACCATTTCTCTGTATTCAGTTCTTCTGAAAAGTGTAATTCATTCTACACAAGTTTTCACCACTATAATGAAATCATATATGTAGGTAATCTGGGTGTTCAATTTTAAGAACTGAACATTTGGACCCTCATATATATAATAGCTTGTATTTGAGGATACCCATGTATTAGGACGGCTAACCAATCCCTATTGTGGATCCTTGCTCAGGAACATTTGTGTTTGTTCAACACCCACAGAGCTAATCTGTGGTTTATACTGCAACTATGCTGAGCAGACCTTAGTTACAATTTCTGGGAGAGAGTGTGTTATCTAACGTGATCAACAATGTGAACAAAGCCAGCACACTCAAACCCTCGGCCATGATGACAATTATCAACGACTCCCAAGGGTTCCATCTACCCAATTTCACTCACTTACGCTTGGGTCAACTCGTGGTATGGTTTTCAGGCACTTTCCAAAGGTACTGCACACTGGGATTGCCCCCTCCAGATAGATAACATCAGGAAGTCCTGACAAATTAACCATGGTGAGATTCAAACCGGGGTTTCATGGTTAGAAAGCGAATATTCTAACCACTCTCTCTCTCTCTTTTATATATATATATATATATATATATATATATAGATATATGTGTGTGTGTGTGTGTGATGAAATCTTTCACCATCTTCTTATATATAGAGAGAGGGAGTGAGAGAATGAGAAAGACAAAGAAAAAGAAACAGTGTGAACATAGGAATCCTCATTGGATGGTGGCAGTCACCGTGAAGCTTTGATTCCTATGAACACTCCATCATCAATATTGAGCACTCTTACCTTGTAAATATAATCACATCATAAATCACATAACCCATTAAAGTCATAGGGGTACCACTTGTACATAACTGCAATTGTATGTCTATAACAAGATAGCCTGTTGGAGTCCACCCCTCTTTAGGCTGGTTTTGAGTTCAGAGTTTTCCTTCTCCGTCTTAAAGCAAAAGACCCCAGTCAGTCCTGCTATTTAGCCCGTAAATGGAAGAGGAGAGATGGATTCATACTTTTCCCAATCGCATTTGTGTAAAAGTGAATGCTAAGAATTTGGCAATATAGCAAATTTTAAACAATAATATATATATATATATATATATATATATATATATATATATATATATATATATATATATATATATATATGTAAGCAAATATATGGATATAGATCTGACAGTATGAAGAAAAATACAGAAAAAACAAACAAAAATCTTAATATGCAATTATGCTGTATTAATGTTAATATAAAGTCAACGTCGGAATTTTCAGTCTATTTGAAGACCATCTTCATGGACATAAATGAATATGTCCACTTTATATTATTTTAAATTTTGAAATTAATATAACTACATATTAAGATTTTGATTTGTTTTTCTGTTTTTATTCATATATATATATATATATATATATATATATATGACTGAAAACAAATGGAAAACTTTTTGTTACTAATTTGTTTCATCAACTGAGGGATATTATTAAGCTAAATGTAAGGATTTTATTTTGCAGCTTATATTTATAAACTGAAGTAAAAATATTGTTAAGTTTTCAAAAGTTTTTCATTTAAGAATGCTCTAAAATATTCTTAAGGCTAACTGTGTAAGTAAAGGTAATCTATGGAAACACTAAGTGACATAATTTAATGCCTAATAAATGAAAGTGAGTAATTATTGTTAATATTGTTGTTGAATTTTTTTTCAAATTTGTATATATGTATTTATTTTTTTTAAATTAATTATTATTTATTATTTCATTTCAATCTGCTAAATTATTTATATATCTATTTATTTTAAATAATAGAAAGTCTTCATTTAATAATTTTCTTTTCATTATAAATTTTTTTATGGTCATGCATGTTTGCTTGGTAAAGGGTTCCTTTGTTTAAGAAAGAAAATATTTTAAAAAATCATAAGTTAACATTTTAGGAAGAATCAATAGCTGTACTCTCAAGAACTTTCTATCTAAGTAAGTGTGGCAATCCTTTTATCTTCATTCATACAGTCTTTTTACATATACATTTTATTTATATCTGAATTTGTACACACACACACACACACACAAATAAATAAAAAATCAACTTAACACCAATAAAAAGCACATAAATTATTTTTTTAACGGAATATAAAAATAAAGAAAATGAGAAAATCAGGAGACAATAACTGATACCTCCTGACAAGTGAACCAAATAATTAAAAAAAGTTTGTCTCCAAAACTCTGGAGTTGGGGTGCTGAATATAGCATCAATCAGCTAAGTGACAAATTTTACATTTGTATTAATCCTATATACATAATACAGGTTTCAATGAAGATAACTGACAAGGCACTGTGATTCATCTTTTTATTATATTTTTCTTGCATTCATACAAGTGATTTATTTTTTGAATATTTAAAGGATGTTTTTTGTTTGTCTGAATATGTAGATATTTTTTATCTTTGATAATAGATTAACCAAAAGATACATTGATCATTTGGACAGTTTTCTATGTCGTCTTCAATGAAACCTGTATAAAAGAGGCATTGCTGCCCAAATACACAAATATATATATATATATATATATATATATATATATATATATATATATATATATATATATGTATATATATATGTATATATATGTATATATATATGTATATATATGTATGTATATATATATATATGTATATATATATATATATATATGTATGTATATATATATATATATGTATATATATATATATATATATATATATATATGTATATATATATATATATATGTATATATATATATATATATGTATATATATATATATATATATATATATATATATATATATATATATATATATATATATATATATGTATATATATATATATATATGTATATAAATGTATGTATATATATATATATATATATATACCAAATTCTCATCAGGGCAAAAGAAAGATAAAAATGTGAAATTTATTAACTGATGAATCAAAGAAGCAAAGTATTTCCAATGAAAAATGAAAATCTTTTCTTTGCCAAAGTAACAAACATAATGCAATAATTGAATTGCGTTTTGCTTGAAGAGTTGTCTCCCTTACTCCTTAGCCGCTTGATAAGCTAAAAATAAAACAAGCAAAAACACATACACAAAAAATGTGGCAGAGCATGCAGCTAAAGCTTTTGTGATCCGATCACAGGTCTGCATCAAAAGAAGTTTGACAATTTCTCTAGATGTCATTGATACTTATTACTATGCATTCATCAAACAGGTAGAAAAGTTTCATTTCTAAATTTGGAAAAAGCACATTTTACCCCAAAGATTAGACTTGTAGGTACAGTATATTCCAGCATGTTATGCAAATAAGAAAAATTACAAGAAAAATATTTTTTAGACTGTTTCACTTCTTAAGCAATCATCTCATAAAAACAATGTGAAGGTATATAAAAAAAATGAAAGCTAATGATGAACAGTAATAATGAAAGAAATGACACAAAATTTCTCATATCAAGCAGGGGTGTCATAACAATGCAGAAAATAGTGTTATTTACTTCTATAATTTCCATTTTCTCTAATGTCTTGAAACAGCTTATTATTTAAAGAAATTAATCTGGGGATTTCTTCATGGATAATGGCTTTGCAAATAGCTAATATTGTTTCCCAAAATTCATTTTTGGATACAAATTTCTTTCTACTCTTATAAACACACTGCTTGACAATGCTCCAAAGTTCCTAGATTGGGGAATATTGCAGCCACATGATAAGCCTGTTGTTTTTAAACCCTCAGGCACATTTGTGT